GTGTGTGTGTGTGTGTGTTTGTATTTTAACATGAATTCTGAACAGAATGTCAAGCTGATGGCTAGTCTTGTTTTTGAGAGTGCTGGTTTAAAAACTCAATTTTTATTGGTCTAAAGTGATGTCTTCAACACTATAGTAAAACTATAAAATGCTTGAGCTTCACAATGACGCCAAACAACAACCATCAGAAATAAAACAGTCAGTTTCCAAGAAAATATTAATAATTAGAATTAAAAAGGTTATATCTGAAGACATATCTGTTATAAAATTGGATTTAAAGGCAGATTAGGAGGATTATATGCAATTTTAGTTAATGGTCATTTTTACGCAAATCTCATTTATGGCAAAAATCAATGTTCGTGTTTTTGTTTAGTTCATTCTGACTCATTTTGCCAGTAGGGGTCACATATGTTCGTTTTCTGCAGAACTCTTCTGCAAAACATAGAAACTAATCTTTAAACAATAAAACGTTTCATTGCTTTTTGCTTTAAGTCTTTAACCTGAACGACTTCAGGTTTTTGCCTCTCATTTAAAAGACAAACACATTTTCATTTAACTATCAGAAAGAAAGCAAACATATTCCAGCCAAGCACTGCTCTGATAACGTCTGACTGTCACTTTGAATGCTGCAAAGCCATATTTCATGACCTGAAGTACCTGTCCTCCATTTTGTCCAGCCAGCAGACTTCATATTGTCTCCTCCAACATACTATCAACCCCACAACAGCCCGCCGTGCCTTGTAAACACCGCCGCAGAACAATAAAGCACTCCATTGGACTCGTGACCCCCATTGCTACACAATAGAGGAGGACTCATAAAAAGTCAGTTATCTCGAAGCTGGGCGACCTTTTTAAGTCTCACGAGCAGAAGGAGATGCTATTCAAGGCAGGTTTTTTTCCTCTGGCTTTGGGTAAAGTCTATCTGAAGGGATCGTGGATTGTGAGCTGGTGTTCTAACTCTTTGAGGTGTTTCCAATCTGGTTTTGAAAGTTGTGTGGAACCAAAGTTTTGCTTTGGGTGCGATTGCTCAATCGAAGATTAAAAAAACAAAAAAAATGGAGGCGTGCTCTTTGAGAGCAAGGGGAGGGCGAAAACCTCAGAAGAGGAGTGGCAGCTGAGGAACTTCAGCAGGTTTAAAAGGCCCACGCTCCCCGTGTGACCCGTGTAAAATCAAAGCCTGCCTCTCCAACCCCAGGCTGTGGCCATTGTAGAGCGGCTGCGTGAGACAGACCTCCTGGGTCTCTGCAGGTCGTATCCGCTCCCCTCTTTGTGGCACAGGGCAGAAGAAAGTGCCGCGCTCGGCCATCTTTTCTGAGTGCGTATCTGTGTTTCGGGGTTAGCCTGAGGTGACTGCAGCCCACGGACGCCAACTGAAATGACTACTGTATGGGGTCAGGACTGTCTGAGTCTGCTGGTTTTTAACTCTACAGCTCCCCTCACAGCAGGACTTTATTAGGGTCTCGGGACTGAAAGGATGTGCCTGAAATATCATTATAAAAGGAGATTGTTGCTGATGTATCAGAACCAAAGCATCACGTGTTCAGAAAGAACTATCCTCCTTATATGTGGGATTTTAAACAATACATGAAAAATAAACCTTTTTTTGTTTTCTCACATTTTAACAAAGATAACTTAATGAACTCTTTGCACTTTCTGTGCTGTTTTGAAATCTTTACGAGGGAAAAGGCCCAGTGATTACATTAAAATGATCCCTACAGCAAAGAATAAATACATTATTTTATGAAACCAGTAAAAATGCTTATATTTAAAACAATTTGAACCCTTATTCTGTATAAAAACATATAGATTCATACATTTTAAATCACAAAAATGAAAACTATCTACATCTAGTTCCCTTTTTTAACATTTTCTAGGTTTTTTTTTGTTTTACTGTTGAAGATCTAAATAAACACTAAAATTTATATGATAAAAAACAAAAACAACAAGTATTTTAGGGAGGACAGGAGTAAAAATTCAGCTTCCAACACAAAGGAAATAATAGTTTTTTAATGCTAAATTAAAATAAACTATGTTTATGGTTAATATTGGAACTAAAAACTCTATTTTTTTTATTTAATTTGCGGATAAATCTGCCTCAAGCAGTCCCTGCATTAGATTTGGTCGAATTTATTATAAAATCACAATGTTAAAATGTATGTCTGTAATATTAGTGTTTAATGTCTTGTTCAGTATATACTTGTAAACCTGATCATGTTTAAAACATGATCTATAAGAGTCAGGGTAATGAAATTGTTGTTTGGTCTCTTTAAACTTTGTTAAAGTCAAAATCTATTTATTTTTTTTTAATTTGGCAAAACTCACTCCCGTTTTTCTTTAAACGTAACACGTCTTGAGTAAATCCTGACTAATATTATTTAGAGTATGTAGTTAGTATTAAAGGTGATTTATGATGAGCTCATTGGATGTTATTATTAATAAATAAATAAGGCTGGGGAGCACAGGTGCCAGCTAATCTGTCTGAACCATCGGTTTCTGTTGCTAAAGTAAAAAAAAAAAAAAGTCACCACCAAAAATGCCCGTCACAATGTTTGACTGTCCATCCAGTTGTGACCGACTGATCAATGGAGCAAAACAGAATCAATAAAAACTCCCCGACTCAGAAGGTTTGCTTGAAATGACCCAGCAGTGACCTTTTACGTATGACTGAAGGTGAAGCAGAGGTTTAAGAGGGGAAAAAAGGTGGTAGTGGTGGTGGGGTTGTGCCTCTTTCTCTCTTTTTTTTCTTTCTAAGGCCGAAGAAGCGGTGATCAGTCCTGTCTGTCCAGAAAAGAGCCAATGCCTCAGCGGACAGCTCCTGCTGCTCCGAGTCTGCGGCCAGATTCAGCAGCTATACTGATGTCCATAAAGGTGAGGAGGAGGCCCAGCTGTGATAAATGAACCTATGTTACAGTCACTGCAGTCTTCTAATACACCACAGACAAAAGGAGCTCCTGCTGGGCCCGAGTATAGAGAGCAGAGGTCCGAGGAGCTGCTTATCAAAGGCCCGGGAGATGTAGAAGCAAAGGATTTTAATTGTCCATTAAGCATGCATAATACAGGCCGTGCCCCGGCAACGCAATGAGACGCCCCGCTGGGACGTTATTGTCGGGTCAGAGCTGACGCTAAAAAACAGCTGATGCTGTCGGCGAGAAGCCAGCAGGACACCTTGTAAGCAGCCAGCTGAGGGTTTCTTTCCTTTTTTAAAAAATTTATTTATCAAATTTTCCCTTCTACCGGACAATCCCTAAAACTGACTCCACCGCAGCGTGACAAGCTGAGGTCAATGCCTGGTCAGGTGTTCTGGGCCCGCAACAAGAGAAAAAAAATAAATAAATAAACTAAAGCAAACAGGAGAGCTACAAGTGGGACCAGTTTATCCAAAGGTAAAAGAGCAAGTCAAGGCAAACAATTTGTTTTCCCTTCAAAGGTGGCCTCGTGTTCGAACACGAGAGGACAACAATGGGCTCTGAGCGGCTCTCAAATCACACTTTTCTGGACGGTGAGTGATGGCGCGACCCATCGGTTTGGTTTTATACGTAGAGTCAGGCGAACTCGCTCGGTTCTACCTTCCCCGAGCCCAAACGTCCGGTCAGCGCAGCGACCCCTCGGCCCTCCGTTTAGGCGCCTCTCGTTAGCGCCCTGGAAGGGAGGAGAAATGACGGCTTTACGCGTGGAGGTGTTCTGGATGTGTCCCGGACCCCCCACCCCGCCCCTCCCTCCCTGACCCTGGCCTGACCCTGGCCTGTCACAGGATGGCTGCCCTTTGTGTCATGGCTCTCCATGCTGACTTTGGAGTGGAGATTGCAGGTACAATGTGGATTGTTCTCAGTGTGTTTTCAAAGATCAGAATAACAATGGCATTTGCTCAGCCCACTCACTCATGCTCATTGATCATCTGGCCTCTCTCTCTCTCTGGTCCTCTCTCTGATCACATCAACTCTGCCTCCAAACCTTCCCTGACACAAGCTGAAGAATAAACCCACGTTTAACTGCTGATAAAACACAACCTGCAGGCGTCTTACTTGGAGGGGAAGCGCTGTTTTGGGGATGGTGCGGCGAGCCGTGCGACAGCAGCGGGTTGAGCCCGTGCGACGGAACCGTAATGGCGTCCATCGCCAACTTCTGCCTGAAGGCTTCCTCTTTACGCCGGTTGGCAAACCAATTATAAACTCTCACTTCGGTGACCAGGTTAGAGCCGAGGCCCTGGGCTTTGGAGGGGGAGACGCCTCTCTGGAGACACTCGGCTCTGCAGGAAACGGATGAAAACACGGGTCAGGGCTGTTCGGCGGGCGACACTTGTTGTTGTTGTTGTTTTTACCTGTTGCACTCCTCCACCAGCGTCTCCCTCTCCTCCTTGCTGGGATTCTTCTGACGTTCGTAGGCCTGGTAGAGGATCTGCTGTGAAGCAGGCCCCCATTTGAAGCGGTTACGTCTCATTTTCTTACAGAGGGGTTCGCTGCTGACCTCATCCGGTTGGCCCATACCGGCACCGGAAGTGTTGTACTCTGGGTAAAAAAATGCTGGATCCTGACTGCCCTTATCAGACATACTGCTGGAAGAACCGTGAGCCGCCTGGTTGAATTCTGAGAGAAAGAAAAGAGAAAACACATTATGACGATTTTCACTGTCTGTCATTAACTCCGATCAAGAAAAACTCTGATATGCCAAAAGGTTTTCGAACTCAAATAAAAGCGGCGCGGCCGGCCGAGCTGTGAGAAACTCAAATATTAACTTACGTCGGAGAATTTCCCGCTGTTTCCTGACATACCAGGTGTAGAGGGCCGCTCGCTTCTGGGTTTTCATGGGCGTGCCTTTGTTGAGGTGCTGGGAGAGGTGAGACTGGTTCAGCCCCGTGATGTCTACCACCTCCCGCTGGGGAATGTTGTGCTGCTGCATGTAACCTTTGATCATACGGGCAGCTCGCCACGGATCCTCTCTGGGTTCGGATCAAACACGAGAGCGTAAAAAACGTTAAAATCACAGGCGGCTTTCAAAATGAAGGCGTTCTTGCCTTAAAATCAGGATAAACAAGAAAATATTCATGAAAATAAGAGCATTTCTGACATTTATATACTGGCAGCCCATTCAGCTGGCTGTAAATATTCACAAAGGTTAGCTGTGGATACAGAGAGGGTTGGGATTTTCACCCTGGAAACAACATAAAATGGTGCTGAATCAATTTAAAAACAGTTAAATGTGTTTTAAATCTGGATTTCTGCAAGGTAAAGATAAAAACATTCAACACTTTTAAACATATGTTGTATAATCTAAAATATAAATTAGAAAAACTTTTTTTTTACTTAGCCATAAGCCTAAAATTTGTATATTACAACATTAATATTTACCTGCATGTTTTAGCTCCTTTAAATCATCGGATTTAATCCAAAAAAATAAAAAAATAAAGTAATGGAGAGGTAAAAAAGCAGCTCAGACCCTTCACTAATAATTCTAACAAATCTGAACTGTTTGTTTTGGAGAATCAGGCGAAGGCCCGCGTGGAAGTGGAGCGGGTTAAGTGGGAGATGTTCGTTTATAACTTTTGACAATGAATAACCAGATCTCCTTTCAGGCTAATCACACGCCGCTGTGTATCTTTCAGTTGATGATTTATAGAATAAAATTAATAATAACTTAACTACACGTGGGTTAGTTTTGATTATTTCTTTACCCATTCGGATCCTGAGGGGAAACAGGTGGTCGGAGCCGCGAAGAGAAATATTTTTAAATAAAAGCTACTATTTTTGGACAAACAGCTTCCTTTTACACATTAATAATAATAATAATAATAATA